ATATGTACAATGAGAAAAGGACCAAAGACCGAGTGATGATTTAAGAAATGAGCAGAGGCAAAGGAACCAGTAAAAGAGGTGGCCATTAGACAGAAAGGTGGTTTTAGAAGCCAGTGGAGGAGAGTGTCAAGAAAAATGGAATGTTGAGTTTTACTGTAGCATTGTTTCTAATCACAGACATGTGGAAACAATCTAAATGTCCATTAGTAGTTAAATTGAGGTACATTTGTACCACAAACTCAAATGTCTGCGGAGGATGTGCTGTTTTAAAATGGAGAAAGTAGTGGGTTAAATGGGTGATAGGTATTAAGGAGGGTACCTGTTGTGATGAACACAGGGTGTTTATATGTAAGTGATGAATCACTAAATTCTACACCTGAAACCAATTTTTACCATATATGTTCAGTAACTAGAATTTAAATAAAAACTTGAAAATAAAATGCAGAAAGTAGGGCAGATGTAAGAAAATAGGTACCAAGAAAGAGGTAAGAAATAGGGTGAACTGGCATTATACCTGCCTAAGTTACATTGTATGTACACACACACACACACACACACACACACACACACACACACACACATTTTGGTCTTTGCATGAGTTGGCCGACACTGTTGGATAGCTAAATCATCACCCATTCTCAGCCCTTTTCTACCTGCCTGACTCCTCTATAGAAATTAGAAAAGCTGGATTCTCACCCAACCCCCTTTTTAGTTAAGACTGGCCATGAGAATTCTGACCAAGAAAGATATAGGAAAAATACCAAGGCAATTTCTGGGAAAGCTTTTGCTTTCCTGATAAAAGGGATAGATGGCACATAGTCCCTTCCTCCTTCCTCCTACATGTAGATGTAATACCTGGAGCTGGGGCACCCCTCATATGACCATGAGGGGATAGCCAAGAGTACAGAGACAGTAGCCCTGAAATTGTTAAACTGCTGAATTATCGCCAGCATCTGCCTACCTCCGACTTCTTGTTGTATGAGAAAAAAATACACCTCCACTTAAGCCATTGTAAGTTGGTTTTTCTTGTGGCTGAACACTTTCCTGATATATGGGGTATATTTTTTCATTTAATATTTTTATAAAAAATACATGTATATTGCTCTCAAGGCCTGCTACACTTCCTATATCCTAGACTTTTCCTTCAGGGCCATTCTCAGAATGTCCTTTGTCTCTCTTCTCTATTGGATCCTTTATTCTTGAACCCTATGATTTTTTCTTTGTTCATTGGTTTCCCTCATTTCGGTGGAGCATATCCTTCAGTAGCTTCTTGGGCATGACTCAAGCTTCCTGAGTCTTGATTTATAGTTTGGCTAGGTTAAGGAATTATGCACTGTCAGATTTTTTAAAAAAGTATTATTCCATTGTCTTTTAGCTTCCCTTATTACCGTTGAATTGTCCTATGCCATTCTGGTTCCTAATCCTTTGTATTTGGATCATCTTTTTCTCCTTGGAAGCTTTTGGAATCTCTGTCACTCATAATATTCCAGAATTCATAGTGATGTGAAATCTTGTTGTGGATCTTTTTTTCTTTCATTATATGAGGATCTGTGTGGGTTTTTTCAATCCTTAAACCCATATCCTTCAGCTCTGGCTTCGTATGGCACTCTGTCCTCGTCCTTAGCTGTTCTAGAAATCTGACAGTACATAATTTCTAAGCTTAGACAAACTATTAACGAACCAGAGTCTTTTGAGTTACTATTTCAAAAAGGATAAACTTTTGGCATACTTCCCAGTTGTCTGGGTCAAGTGAGAGTCTTATGCAGGCTTTATACTAATCTATTTCCCACCCTCTAACCATAGAAGTTCTAATACCTCTAACTCCTCAGCCTTTTCAGAGTTTTAGTTTGAATAGGAAAATTGCTTTTACAGCTAGACCACAAAATATGTAATAGCTCAAACATGATAGTTTATTTTTTCTTAAGTAACAGTACTAGTAGAAAGGTCAGCAAGACAGCCCTCTTCCATGTGGTCACTTAGGGACCCAGGCTTACAGTGGCTCTTCTGTCTTCAACACGTGACCTCCGAGAAGGTTACCCCAAGGGTCATCTCCATTCTAACCAGTTAGAAGAGGAAAAGAATGGAGGAGTGTGCACAGGACATTTTTATGGGTCAGGTCTAAAAGTGATATGTGTCACTTCTCACATTCTGTTTGCTAGAACTCAGTCCTCTGGCCATGCCTAACTGCAAAGAAGGCTGGGAAACATAATCTGGGTATTTATACAGTAAGAATAGGAGAACATGGATTTTGGTAAACAACTGGCAGTCTCTGCCACTCTAGCATTGTGTGAAGTGGAATGGTGTGAAGCACTTAGCTTTTTTTACTCTTAGGTCAGTTACCACTTTTCTGTTTGCTTCTCAGATTCCAAAATTTTGTCTCTCTTTTTTGCTATTGTTGTTTCCTTTATTGTTCTTTTTGCTTTTGTATGTTTAGGCCTTATTCCTTGATTATGATTTTAGTGAAATTTTGGTTGGGAGCAGAGGTAAATGTGCAGTTACACTGTCATTTAAAATATGTAGGCATAATAAAATGACCACAGAAAAATATTCCTGAGGTTCATATGGGTTTATCAGCTGTGAATTTTCAACTCCTGAACTATACTATCAATACTTTTAGTTGTAAAAATGGACAAAGAGAATTATAGGTACTGACATAGAAAAATGTCTTTCGTATATAAATAAAAATAGAAAATTTTAGAACAGTGTTACAGTATATGATTGTGTTTTTGTATATGTTTGTACTAAAAGTTTTGGAAGGATATACTTCTAAATTTAAGGGCAGTTATTTGAAGGGAGTGGGACTGAGAAAAGGTTGAGAGGTTGGGAGGCTTTCCGTTTTGATTTTATATACTTCAGTGATACTTGAATTTTTTTCACTGAGCATGTATTGTGTTTGAAACTCTTGTTTACTGAAGAAAAGAACAAATACAGGAATTGTCAGCAGGGTCAAATGCCCTAGAGAAGTCAAGGAAAATGAAGGCTGAAAAATATCTACCAGATTTGGAAATTAGATTTTATTGATGTGGGATCAGAAGTAATCCCAGTGAAGGATATCAGGAAATTTTTGGCTTCTTTAAAAATAGACCATTTAAGACAAGGGTGTAATTAGAGGAGGATGTAGAGCTGAGGAGGCAGGGTCTGAGGTTATGTGTTTTTTCCCCAATATATGAGAACTTTGAGTATGTTTTATAACCTGAGGAGGAGGGGTTCACTAGGGAAGGAGGAAAATTCAGAAGAGCGATGACTTCAAGGAAAATAATTTTGGATTTTTCCTCATTTGCCTCATCTGTCCAGTGATGATTAGACTCCTTTGAAAGATTAGTAGGAGTAGTGAGGTAAAGCCATGTTCAGCAAGACTGATGTAGAAGGAAAGCCCCAAATTTTCAGTGAGGAGGGCTTTCATTTATTAGCCTTTGAAGTCCTTTCTAATCTTCAGTTCTACAAATTCAGCTTACAGTTGTACAAATTCAGTTGGTTCTGCGGAGCATGGACTTGACAGAAGGAGACACCCTGCTTTAATATGACTTGACCTAGGAATCCAGGCTTATTAGTGAGAGAGATAAGAATGAAGAATTTGTTTCTTTTGAGGAGCAAATCATTCTCCAAGGAAATCTGACAGAGTTAGCACTTCCTCTAGCTCCTTATCAAGTTAAGAAGCTCTCAGTTTCTTTTAAGTGCCTTTCTCTCTCTCTCCTTTTCCCAAGGATACTAATTTAGAATCTGCTTTGCCAAGAATCTGTGTATTTTGGGAATCCATTTCTTCACCTCACCAGGGTTACAGTGAGTCATGGCTCTGACTCCATTCTTCCTCAGAAATTGTAAGGTGGTAGATATCATTATCTTACCCAGTTCTGCCCCATTTCCTGGGAAAATTCTAGGCTCTGAGCTTCTAAGAGTGATTTTCTTCCCCCTAAAATTGAGAGGCATCTGGTATGTGTTACATAGAAATTTGGAGTCTTTCCTTTGAGAGATTTTAAATATTATTTAAACTGAGAATAAGATGCTTGTGTATAGAAATTCCTTAGGTCAAATGAGTCCTTATCATGAAGTAACATTTTCTAGAGGCCACTTTGGGTAAAAAGAGCAGAGCATGGATATGGCTGCCCTGTGAACTCTCTAAGTTCTGTCCAAGAGCAGACTTGAATTCGCATTCCTCATTCTGCCTCCCAACATTAGGTATCCTGACATAGATATAAGGTCTAATTAAGTCTCCTGTTTCTTGGTAAGTCTCTGCCCCTTTTATACTCCCACTTTTTGGCCCATTGGAGAGAGGGAGAATGGATAACAAGAATATGGCAAGAGTTGCATTATGCTTCTTGAGGTCCAGAGGATGTTAGTAAGGATTATTCCTGTGGGTTCTGCCAGGTTCCAAAGAATGTCTCCTGAGAGGATTGCTCAGCAGGTATGAATTCCTCTCTTCCCACCCCAACCACCCCATGGGTTACTCAGCCCACAGGAGAGTCAGGCCACCAAGGTATATGCAGACTAGGTCCAAAAGATGAGACTGTAAGGGAGTAAAACTTGAAATAGAAGTAGGCAGAGCTTCTGATAGCCAGTACTGGGTAGGTTTCTTTGGCCTGTGAGAACGAGCTGCCTCTTCTATAAGTTACCTGGGAGGATACATTTATTCCACATAGACTAGGGTCACTTTTCTCCTGAAATGCCCTTGTAAGGGGAGGAAAGACAGCAGGCCTAGGTAATCCAAATCCTAGGGGTCCCTCCGTTCTCTTTAGCCATAGAATATTCACTGGCCCTAGCCACATTTTTCAGTGTCCCACCTTGATCTTTCATTCATTCAAGGTGGCCTATTACAAATTGATTTATATAGTACCTGCTCTGATAATACCAATGAAGTCTGTGCTTGAAGGAAAAATAAATAAGAAGCAAAGGTAGAGCTCAGTTATGTGAGGCTTCTTTATTATTTCTTTGGTACCTCGGGGACAATGGGAAAAGGGGGAAATGACCTGTCACTAAGAATCTTCTGCTTTCTATTCCTCAAGCAACCTCATAACATTCTGCAGAGGCGCCTCATGGAAACCAATCTGTCTAAACTTCGAAGTAGTCGTGTCCCTTGGGCCTCCAAGACCAACAAACTGAATCAGGCTAAGTCTGAGGGACTAAAGAAGTCTGACGATGATGACATGATTTTGGTTTCTTGCCAGGTAATGTTCTGAGAATAGTTTTTCCAGGGTTTTCTGGAGAGTAGGATGTGGGCCCATTGTGATTCCCATAGTGGGGCCCTCTCCTACAAAGTGTATAGAGCATGGGTCTTATCATAGAATTCATAAGTGAGTTTTCAATTAGCAATAATCGCGCCTCGGATAAACCTCATTGGCTACGATACTGCCACTGCGCAAAGCTCATCATAAGTGAGTTTTACAGAAAGTATATGTAATATTTTTATGCATGTGCATCTTTATGGGAGAGAGGACAAAAGCTTTCATCAGATTTGCAAAAGGGTGTGTGATACACACACACACATACACACACGAGCGTGCGCACATTTAAGAGCTACTTAGTATATAGAATTAAATACTGAAAATCCTTAGGGATCCTTTGTCAGCTCTAGATTCAGCAGGAAAAAAGGCTCCTAAAAGGAGACTCAGCAGTGGTTAAAGATGAGACATTACCAACCCATAATTGTGGGATGCTCTCCAGCCCTGCCTTTCATATGGCATCTGCTGCTTGCTCCCTTCCCTTTTGCTTCTCAGGCTCCTGCTGAACAGTATGTTTCCTTTCCACAGTGTGCTGGAAAGGATGTGAAAGCCTTGGTTGACACAGGCTGTCAATATAATCTCATCTCTTCAGCCTGTGTGGATAGACTGGGGTAAGTAGCCACTTGTGCTGGGTGGGAGTCAGGTGCTTATGCACTCTTTGCCTGAATCTATTTTGGGGTTAGAGATGGTGAGGGTCTCTACCAAGGTTCCAAGAGAAGTATGCAGAGTTCAAATATCAGCTGAATTCTCAGGCACCTAGGAGAAATCAGCAAGCCAGGAAAGCATCAGGTTTTCCATTAACTCCCACCAGTTAAGTTCTGAGCGAAGACCTTTGGGCTCTGGAATGAGAGAGCATGAGATCCTTGGCTCATAGTTAGCCATGCCCTGATCCTGATATATGCCCTGCAAAGACAACAAATTAGAAGGAGCAGTCCTGTTGGTATATCCCAGATGAGTAAAAGCAGGGATGTGGTTGGTCTTAGCTTACTCAGGGTCCTTCTGGAGGCCACACTGCCTGTCCCAAGAAGCATCAGTCAGAACTTAGAATAGGACTGCTATTGGGGCGCCTGGGTGGCTCACTTGTTAACTATCTGCCTTTGGCTCAGGTCATGATCCCAGGGTCCTGGGATCGAGCCCCACTTCGGTCTCCCTGCCCCATGGGAAGGCTGTTTCTCCCTCTCCCACCTCCCCTGCTTGTGTTCCCTCTCTCACTGTATCTCTGTCTGTCAAATAAATAAATAAAATCTTAAAAAAAAAAAAAGAATAGAACTGCTATTGCTGCTGGGCCTAAACCATTATAGGTTTGATTGACCAATAATTTCTTAGTGCCTTTCCGCTTTGTAAAGAACATGTAAAATCAAATCTTACTGCTGCCCCTGCTGGGGATTGAGTGTGAGGCAGATGCCTCATATATTGAATGTCTTTGGTTCTTTAACAGCTAGAATCGAGTTCTTCCTCTTTTAGTCAGAGAAAGCCATTTTGTATCTCTCTTCCTTTTCAGTCAATTGGTACTTTCGTGTCTTCTTCCTTCTCTTCCCTCCTAAGTACTAGATGAGCCCTAAGGTCTAGCCCAGAATTGGAAGGATCAACCCAATCTCCTTTTCCACTTTTCTAGCCCTAAGAATAACAGATCATTCCCTAGCTTACTCTCTGTATTGAAACAATCACTATGGCAGATATAATGGTTCATTCTAAGCTGCTTTCAAGATGTTCATACTCTTAGGTAGGACTTGAACAAGGCTTGATTTGTATAATTGGTGACCTCTGCTACCTGATCTGTTCCTTCTTGTTTCTACCTTGTCCTCACCCCTCACCACCACTGTGACTCTTTGAGGCTGGCTCTACGGGTTTTGTACATTGCTATTTAGGCTTGTGGGAGGAGTCCAGGACACAAGTGCTCTTGTGGGAAGAATCCTGAGCTTTTTTATGTGGTGAAGAGATGAGATAAAGTACAACATGATGGTTCCAGAAAGACTAATAATGTCCTGGTGCATAATTAGGCAGCAGTCTGCCGTGGTTCCAGAGGAATTAATAACCATCTGTAAAACTGCAATTATTTTTCTTTTGGATGAGCTCTAACACTAAAAGAGAGAAAATGGAGTAAAGCAGAAATATTGGCACAGAAAGTCCATAATTAAGTTTTTATCCACCAACCCATGATAGCTTGGGTGCTGGCTGTTCCAATCTGCTTATATAACTGTGTGAAACCTGGGTGCTATTCCTTTCCTTCCTCTCGTGCAGAGACAAGTTAAATTAATAAAGACTTTCCCCATGATATTCCTTGCTGATATCAATATCAGTATCAATGCACTTATCAAGTAAGTACCAGCCTCCACTAATATAGCTGAAGGCTAACTGATGAGGATAAACTGAAATAGAAAAGGCAAAGAGAAAATTAGACACTGAACAAAAAGCATCTTCTAAAATTAGGACAAACTCCTGCCCTTTTTGACATCTTTTACCCACAGAGGGGTAAAAAGACATGTTAACTAAATTGCCTTGCATATAGATGGGGATGTTAGGATGCAGAATAGGATTTTCTGAGTGTATCAACTTTCATTTTTCACCAGTACAGATAGTGACATAGCTTTTTGAGAATAGGAGCTGAATCTTTTCGTTTTTTTATATCCCCTGGCATATGTAGGACAAAGTTCTGAAACAAGTATAGGCTGGCTAGCACATTTTTTGGTAAATTAATCCCAGGAAATCCCTAGAAAAGACCAATGGGTGTCATAAGGTAGACATTATCAGATTCCATCAGAAACCTCTGCCAAGGGGATTCTGATATCTCCCTCTCTGGTGCAGACTCAAGGAGCATGTCAGATCTCACAAGCATGAAGGAGAGAAGCTTTCTCTACCCCGGCATCTGAAAGTAGTGGGCCATATTGAGCACCTGGTGATCACACTGGGCTCCCTCCGCCTGGACTGTCCAGCAGCTGTGGTTGGTGAGTAGAATTGAGAACTGGACCTATGGACCCCTATTGTAAACCCCCTCCCTACTTCCACCAAACCCTCATAAGATCTCATGCCTGTAAATATTGACTTCAAAATCCCAGGTTTCCATTTTTCTGTACTATAGACTTGTCCCAATTTTTACTCTCCAAAGTACCAGATTCAAGACATGTTGAGCACTAAGAAAAAGGAGTGTGTAATTCAGGATAAAAAAAATGTAAGGGGTAAGAAACATTTTTGTGTGCCAGTGAAAGTGGCTCCTGAGAGCTTTCCCTGAGCTAGTTGGAGGTAGAGGGCAAGATCCCCTTACTCCTTCACCATAAATCACTTGATAACTTTCCCCCACTCTTATATTTCCCCTTTTGTACTCTACTCTAGACTACTCAAGGTTCCTGGGTTTTTTCTAAAGGCCTTTGTCCTTTCAAGTTTAAAAGACCTACCTAGGTTTGAATCTTGGCTCTATTACCTTTTAACTATAATGATCTGGGAAAATTACTTAATATAATAGATGCTCAACAGATGTTTATTGGATGGATGGATGGATGGATGGAAGATTAGATGGAACCCAATGGTGATAAGGCTGACTTCTAAACCAGCATAGCAATAGTTGGAACTTAATTTTTTTTTTTTTTTAGAGGACAATGAGAAAAACTTGTCCCTTGGTCTCCAGACTCTCCGATCCCTTAAGGTAGGATTGATTCTACTTTCCCTTTGATTCTTACTCTCTGAGGCAGGGGTCCTCTTACATGTCCCACTGACAGTGGGATCACTGACAGTGACCAGTGATTCTCCTTTGTTTTTAGTGCATAATAAATTTGGATAAGCACCGGCTGATCATGGGGAAGACAGACAAGGAAGAAATCCCTTTTGTGGAGACAGTTTCCTTGAATGAAGACAAGTAAGTGCCCAAATGGGTCAGGTCAAGTAAAATCCATTTGTCATTAAGTGGAGGGGTTCTCACACAGGATATTGGGTTCTGTCCTGCCTTTATCCTTCAGTCTTACCACAAGTATACCCATCCCCAACCCCTAGAGTTCACCATCCTAAAAAACTCTCTAGCCCACATTCCAGAATAAGTAGTGATGATAACCACGCAGAGTGGTGGGGAAAATAAGTAGCTTTTAAACTAAAATTGTACTTGCCTTCAACCTAACTTCTTTGGATTTGGTATCATTTCTTCTATTTCTTTCTCATTTCAGCACTTCAGAAGCATAACTACAGACTGCAGCATGTCTGCACGTATGCACACATACCAGGTTGACAGATTGAGAAAACTGGGTTTGAACAAATGCAGTAGCAACTTGCTGTGGACCAAGTCCTTCCCTCTAATAGAAGCTCCAGGGGCTCCTTCCCACCCAGTCCTCTTAGTCCATGCTTAGAGATCTTATCTGGTTATAGCCATTGTTTTTTACTCCTCTGATCACTTAATTTATAGACCTTTTATAAAGACTGCCAGGTCTCACTTGTGGCCTACTTCTCTGCTTTCAGGAATTTGCTTTTATTAGTCCAGTATAGGGGCTGCCAGGTTCTGTTTCTCCATAGATACACTTGCTTCTTTTCCTATAGCTAAAATATATGATAAACAGGAACCTGACCTTTACCTCCTTTCAGTTGTTCCAAAGAGGTGCAATATACCTATGTCTCAGAATTAGAATTTCTTCTAATTCATTCATTGATTTCTCAAAAATAACTTTATCTGAAAGAACCCAGAGAGATCATCTAGTCCAACTTTTTCATTTATAGGTCCAGAGAGGCAAATTAATTGTCTAAGCTGTTATACTAAGTCAGTGGCAGAGGAACCTAGAACTCAGACTTGACAAGCCAAGGCTATGTTCATTTTCCCATGCTGCCTCTTTCGTCTTCAGGCCTTGAGAGGAGGATGAAGAGGTAAGGACTTTAAAAAGGCAAGGTAGGGGAAAAATCTGCTTTGGGGTTGGATGCCAGGAGGATCTGGGTAGCCCTTTCTCCTGTGTGCTAAGTCCACTAAAAGTCTCTGCCCCAAATTGTCACATTTAGGACCTTATTTTGGTGCCTAAAAGCTGAGGGTACAAAAATGAGTGAGGTGACCTCTCACCTTGAAATTCTTGGAGAGGAGGAGAGGGAAGGAACCACAGACAGAACAACATTAATCACTTTCTGAGATGGAATTGAAGGCTTTGGTAAATAATCTGGGGATCATTATTAGACATTGATACCCTCAAGATCTAGTCAGTATTTCTGGCCAGACTGTTACTTGTCTGCCATGGACTCAAGTAGCTGGGGTCAGAAATAGGGAAAGGAGATGAAAAAAATCCAAGCACATCCAGAATAGAAGGAAGTACTGGGTAGAATCAGTTGGTGGGAAGTCCTACCTATGGAAACCTTTCTGGGGTGGAGGTCAGGAATGAAATTTCCAGACAGGGAACTGAAGGTTAGGAAACTCTTCAGCCTTGTTCTGCTTCAAGGAAAGAGGCAGGGCAAGAGCTGACAATGTTAAGGGCAACTTTTTCTGGCTGCCCAATGTCTGCTGACCCTTCTCAAAGTGTTGGAGATCACAGGGGTGTCTCAAAGCTTTTTTGTTGGGTTGTCAGTTTAGGCACACAGATACCTGTAATGAAATCTCCCTTTCAATTTGGTCATAGAAGTACATGGAGAAGTCAGAAAAATAATCAGCTGTGAATATCTTTTTTTTTTAAGATTTTATTTATTTATTTGAAAGAGAGAGAATGAGAGATAGAGAGCATGAGAGGGAAGAGAGTCAGAGGGAGAAGCAGACCCCCTGCCGAGCAGGAAGCCCGATGTGGGACTCGATCCCGGGACTCCAGGATCATGACCTGAGCCGAAGGCAGTCGCTTAACCAACTGAGCCACCCAGGCGCCCCTGTGAATATCTTTTTAAGAGATTTCCAAGTCTACCCTTGGTTCATAGCAGTAGTTTCTAGAGCATTTAATGGATCCCACTTTGAACTTTGCCAGGTCCCAGCAACAATCTCGTCAAGTGTTCAGCGACTGCCTCTATCAGATAACTCTTTGGAACTCTGAATGTTTTTAGACTTACAGAAGTTCCCTAAAGACTAGGAACTTAGTGACCCTCATTTGAACAGCTAGGCAGCTGGGTCTGGGTCACCCCCAGACCTCCTTATCAGCCTTCAGCACCCCCTCCAGATTCACCCCATTTTTGCCTGGGCAGGGCAGGGGGGGGTCTGTGCCTTTCCATTGAGGCCTCTCCACTCTCCTCCTCTACCTATCATGGCACCACTTTGGCCTGCTCCTTATCCTAAGACTGAGTTGAAATACTTCACCCCTTCCTCCCCAGGTTGAAAATTCCACTCCAAGCCTTGACTCTTGGCCACAGGTAAGGCATGTTGGAAGTTCCTTGGCCTGGCTTATCCTTATTTGGATTCCCTGTGGACCGGGTGAGGCCAGGAATTCTTAGGTGTTGGAAAGATGTGACTAATTCTGGCCCTTTGAGTTCAGGATTCTGTGGCATCAGAGGGATGATCAGATGGCCTTTAGTGATCTTTCTGGGTTCTGAGAATCAGTCACTGACTTGCCAGTTTTAGAATAGAAATAGTTGGGGTGATCTGAGCTTAGGGTATCATAATCTCAGTGCAGTCAGATCATTTGAATTCCCTAGCCACATAATTGTACTTTAAACCTCAGGCTTCATAGAGGTATCTAAAAATGTCTAAAGACAACTATGGGAAGTCTTGAGCTTCATTAATCTTTAAATGCTGCCAAGTTGATTATTCTGATAGCCCATATCTCCTTGATATTCATGAGGGAGTACCTGATTTACTTTTCAGGGGCTGGCAAGATGAAAAGGTAAGGTTAGTTCTTCCCAGAATCCTAGAAAATTCTCTCTGGCACCTCTGATTCAGGATGTGGGAAGAAAGTGTCTACCCACACTGTGTTCTGAAGGCAGGCAGTAGCAGGAAGTAACCCTATAGAACTAGTACTCCTCTCATTCCTTATTAGATGTCCATCTCAAATACAGGAAGTTTGAAAAATACTGTTTTTGTTATTTGGTATATCTATGCCTGAGTCATATGAGGAAAAATGTTTTCTGACTTTTCTATTTCCTTGCCCTGCACAGACCCCACCTGGTAAGATTTTCTATTCCTTAGCTCAAAGTGTCTGTAGAATGGATCACTTATTGTATCAGCTGCCCTGACTTTTGTGTAATAGAAATACCTTTCCAGGCTGGAAACATGGAGGAGATGGAACTGGATTCTTTCCTCCTTCTGTTGCCAGGCCTCTACATTGGCACTTTTACCTGCTCAGTGTTTCTGGCTGTGTCGGGTTTATTTGTGAGATTGATGTAACAATAAAGTGAAATCTTCCCCTCTGTGTGCTTGTCTGACAAAGTCTCTGTGTCAGGGCCCCTGGAAGGTGAGGGAACCCAGGCACAGCCTAATTACATCAGTGTTTCTCTCATAGGGTCCTCTGAACACAAGGCTTTGAGGTCCTCATTTCTTCCATTGCTGCTAGTCCTTCAGCAATCTCTTACTGGCTGTATGTCCTTGGGCATATTAGTGAACCTCTCTGAGCTTGGTTTTGTAGTCTATAAAACAGATGTGATGATAGTACTTGCTATATAGTGTCAAATGTAAAGTGGTTGGCATATGGTAGTCCCTTAAAGATTTAACAGCATATGAGAACAATCTTTTATGGTGGATCAGCAGTGTGTAAGAAAATATTTTTCTAGAAAGAGACATATTTATTTAGTTCAAACAAATGGCACAAGTTTTGGAAGGGGGAGTATTATTGAATGAGCCCTAATATATAGTTAAGGCCATTGTCTAAATGATGTTTCAAATAAATGCATTTTACAGATGATAGAAACTTACCTTTTAAGTATTAATATTTTAATATTGAAACAGTAAGATTGAAGAGTCAACAGGCAACATTCTTTAGCTATGACAATGGTTAGTTATCACAGTCTAGAATTACAGTTCCACTGCTACTTAGATGATCCTACCATTCTACCTCAAAAGATTTTCTGTCTTAGTTTTGTCCATTTATTCTAAATATAAAAATTCAGGGGCGCCTGGGTGGCTCAGTTAGTTGAGCATCTGACTTCAGCTCAGGTCATGATCTCAGCGTCCAGGGATCCAGCCCGGCATCGAGCTCCACGCTCAGTGAGGAGTCTGCTTCTCCCTCTGCCCCTCCCCCCACTTGAGCACACATGCGATTAAACTCTCTTTAAAAATATTTAAAATTTAAAAAATAAAATTTTTTTCTTTTTAGATTTTATTTATTTGACAGAGAGAGAGGGAACACAAGCAGGAGGAGTGGGAGAGGGAGAAGCAGGCTTCCTGCCGAGCAGGGAGCCTGATGCAGGGCTCAATCCCAGGACCCTGGGATCATGACCTGAGCCGAAGGCAGATGCTTAACAACTGAGCCACCCAGGCGCCCCTAAAATAAAATATTTAAAATTTAAAAAAAATATTAAAATTTAAAAAGACTTACCCAACCTGACTCTTAAACAATGAGTGACTGAATCAAGATTCATGATCATCTTCATAGAATGAAATAAAGGAAATTTAGTTTTAAAAGAGTTAAAAAATAATCCTGACTTTCATTTTTTAAAAATCTATTGCTCTTGCGCAGTGAGAGGAGAGCTTGGATTAACAAAAGTTTATGTGAAGATGATGTTGGTGTTTTAGTTAAGGGGTATAAAAGTATTAAGGATTCTGACAGATCTAGAAATCTTACAGATTGTACAAAAAAGCTCATGTGTTAAAAAAAAGTATTAAGGACTCTGTAGGTAGTTGTCATTTGTAAGATAGAGACATGTATACAATTTGTGGAGCATCTAGAAAAGGGCAATGATAACATGGTTATTGTCTTCAGAGCTGTCATGGAAAGTGTTCTTTCTGGCATCAGAAGGCAAGCATTTGCAGTAGGTGGAGGTTGCAGAGAGGCATACATATCCTGGCTCAACTGGAGGGAAGCATCTCCTATAAACCAGGGACTATGCTAACTCCTACAAAGAAGGTAGTATTGTTCATAGTTTTGCAGAAGGAAAAGCTAAGGCTCAGAGTGGTATCAAGGTACAACTACGTAGCACAATTAAATGAATTATCTCTAAATTTTCTTTCGCTGGACGTGAAAGGTGGGATGGTAATTTCCTAGCAATATTGTGAAAGATTTTGGCATTGAGTAGAAGGTAGAATAAGGAGACCTCCAAAGTAATTTCTAATGCCAAAATTCTTTGATTCTAGGACATCTTTATTAAATGGCATTATGAATCAAATGTAGTCTCTTGTTGACTCACTGCCATCACTGCAAACAAACTCATTAATTTGGACTTGAATTATGGTTTTTTTTTTTACCCACATTTGAAGGGTTGAAGGTTACTGTTCTCATGGAATCAGAAAGCAGAGATAAACTAGTTTGTATTATAGCTTGGACTCCTCTGTCAGCTGCCACTTCTTCCTTGCATTATTAGTGCATCCTGAGTTATACTATGCTACTGTCTTCTTTGGCCAATGACCTACTGGCAGCTGTTTCTCACATGGTGTCAAGCATATGGGCATTGTGACAACTGTTTTCTTAAAGACAGTTTTATTCATGGGTCGTGGTATATTCTGGAAGACTGAAGCTGCCAGATATCTGACCAAAATGGAGAAAAATGCGTCTTTATCTGATTTTTAGTAGTGATTGGTCCAAAGGTTCAAGCAGCCTGATGACTACAAGGTTTGTCTTTCTTTCCAGCACCTTTATCACAGTCTTTCCTAGACCTGTGCCTCTAACCAGCAAATCACAGCCACCAAAATCAGAGAGGATAATTCAATCTTAGCATTGCTTTTACTAAAGCCAGAGTAGCCTCCAAATTTGTAGTTAATACAGAAAACTTAACTCTTTAGGGAAGTCACATACTTTGAGTTTGACTTACTCAAACCATGCCAGTTGCCTGGAACAGGAGAAATAGGTTGGGAAAAGGGAGTATGGTTGACCTAGTGGAGATACTTGTGTTTGCCAGACTTGGAGGGTAAAGGAAGGGTAAAATGA